GACCGAGGTTTTGGACTTGCAGACCTGAGATGTCAGTGAAATGTAGCACGATGAGGCGGCAAGTTCTAGGTGGCACAAGATGACTTGATGTCAGCTCTGAGGACCCAGGACCTGATAACTCTGTGTCCCCCACCCCCGTGTTGGGAATTGCCCACATATTTGCCTTTTTTCTTCCCTCTTCTGAGTCTGTGTGTCCTTGTTCTGAGCTGCTTTCTCATTGCTCATCCAGACCTGCCCCGGCACCCGGCAGAGTGACAGGAAGGGGGAGAGCAGACACTCACTGCTCGGTGTGCCGGGCGCTATTCTGAATGGCCGTGTGTCCATTCATCAGTCCTCCCCATGACTGTGCCGCGTGGACGTCCTGTTATTATCCACATTTTACAGATGAAGAAGCTGAGGCACTCAGAGGTTAAACTTTGACTTTGCAATACAGGACAGTTTCTGTTAGTGACCACCCAAGGGACTGTAACAAACTGGTCAACATAGGAGCTTAACTTGCAGACATGTGGTGCATGCCCAGTCTATGAAATTAGGTGAACTTAATGAGATGGTCAGTGTAGGGAGGTGGTCAACTCTGGGGGTTCTGCTGTATTTAAGTTTCCCCAGGTAACAATGCTTCATTTTCAAGGAGTCTGGCTCCGTGTGGCTCCAGAGTCTGCTCCTGTCCACTCTGGTGTGCTGTCTCTTCCTCTGCTCACACATGCTCCAGATTTTCCACACTACACCCTCCACTCCTAACACTACTGCAAGCCCAGCTTTTCCCGAAGACACTGCTGCTTTTATGTCTCAGTCAAGCAGAACCTGCTGTCTTTCTCTTTCATTGTAATTTCTCCACCTTCAAATTTATTATCAGGGAACTTGACTCCTAGTTCCTCTCCATCCCATTTTTGTTATCATTTGGAAGATGTTTTTCAGAGCATTCATTAGGTTTTGACGGTGAGCTTAAAATATTTAGGAAACCCTGCTGTAAACAGGTGTGCTGGCATCCAGGCTTTTTGTCGCATTTGTAGAGCACAGGCAAAGTAGGTTTAGCATAATTCTTAACGGTCCTAGGATTTCTTTCTTTCTTTTTTTTTTTTTTTGAGACAGAGTGTTACTTTGTCACCCTGGGTAGAGTGCTGTGGTGTCACAGCTCACAGCAACCTCAAACTCTTGGGCTGAAGTGATCCTCTTGCCTCACCCTCCAGAGTAACTGGGACTACAGGTACTGGCCACAACGCCCAGCTATTTTTAGAGATGGGGTTCTCTCTCTTGTTCAGGCTAGCACTCCTGAGCTCAAGCAATTCACCCTTCCCAGAGTGCTAGGATTACAGGCGTGAGCCACTGCACCTGGCCTCAGGGCCCTAGGGTTTCTGGAGTGGTAATGAGCATTGGCTTCAACTTAAGTCACCAGTTCTGCGGCCAGGTGTTAACTCTTCCTCTCTAGCTATGGAAATCCTAGCTGTCATCTTCTTTCAATGGGAGGCTGCTGTGTCTCCATGAAAACTTGTTGTTTAGCCTGTATCAATGATCTTAGCTAGATCTTCTGGGAAACTTGTGGCAGCTTCTCCATCAACACTTGCTACCTTACCTTGCACTTTATGTTATGGGAACGGCTTCTAAGCTCTGCTGGCTTCAAGCTTTTCTTTGCAGCTTCCTCACCTCTCTTAGCCTTCATAGAATTGAAGAGAGTTAGGGCCTGGCTTTGGAGTAGGCTTGAGCTTAAGAGAACGTTGTGTTTGGTTTGGTTGTCTTTCCACGCCACTAAACTGCTCATATCACAGTAAGGCTGCTTTTCTTTCTCATTTGTCCACTGGAATAACCCTTTTAATTGCTTTGAGAGCATTTCCTTTGCATTCACAAGAGACCTGGCTTTTACTGGGGCTTTGGACATGCCTTCCTCACGATGCATAATCATTTCTAGCTTTTGATTCAAAGTGAGAGACCTGTGATTCTTCCCTCCACTTGAACACTTAAGAGGCTGTTGGAGAGTTATTAAGTGGCCTAATTTCAATATTGCCACATCTCAGGGACGATTCCTCAAAATTTCAGTATCGTCATTCCTCAGGGAATGGGGAAGCTGGAGCAGAGGGGGAGATGTCGGGGAATGGTTGGTCAGTTCACTGGTCAGAACACACACATGTACTGATCAAGTTTGCTGTCTTAAATGGGTGCTGTTTGTGGCACCCAAAGCAATTACAGTGGTAACTTCAAAGTTCACTGATCACAGATCATAATAACAGATGTAATAATAATGAAAAGGTTGAAATTTCATGAGAATTACCAAAATGCAACATGAAGACACAAAGTGAGCGCATGTTGGGAATGTGTTGCTGATAGGTCAACGCAGAGATGCCACCAACCTTCAGTCTGTAAACAGTGCAGCATTTGTGAAGCCCAGGGAAGTGAAGTCCAGTAGAACACAGTGTGCGTGTATCTATTAAAGGATGGAATCTTAGCCTGAAGAAGAATAAATTTCGACGGAGTTACGGACATGTGCCGTTGTGTACCCTTTGACAGAGGTGATGTGATATGCCAATCCTGTCTTTAATGAATTCCTGTTGTCCACAGAGAGATAAGAGCAGGCAGACACAGACTGTTCTGGGCAAAGAGGGCAGCAGGACGTGTGTCATTGGGGATCACCAAGACCTGAAGTCTGGGTGTTCAGTGCTCTTGAAGGGATCAGACATTAGAAGCCAGAGAGCGCAGAACATCAGAGGGCCAGGGTGTCAGTTAAAGGTATCACAGGCCAGAGCCTGCTGAGGAGCCAGGTGAGGCCAGGCCAGGCCAGGAGAAAAGATGGGTCCCCTGGAGAAGCACAAGTGACCCCTGTCTTATGGTCAGGGGTCTGAAGCCAGCTGCAGAAGCCGTAGTGACCCTCACTGGGAATGGAACCTTGACTTTTGGCACTTCCTGAACTGCTGAGGTGTGTGGAGCTTAGATGTGGCAGTGGTCAGATAAGTGTGGGCATAGAAGGAACTCCATGTCACCATCCTGTTGACCACAGTGTGTTGATCAGGCCCTAAGGATGGAGACTGGGCTTACGGATTGGAGGCGGTGTAGGCGGAAGCCCTCTTGTACTCTGAGTGTATTTTGGGGGAAGAGTGGATCTAAAGTTCTGTGATTACTTTGGGCAGCTCCGAGGCTTAGATCCAGGTTCTGAGGTCATGGTGTTTCCGAATTCTGGCGTTTGGAACTTTATCAAGTGAAGCTTTACTATACCATTCATAGTAGTCCTAAAGTCCGGATGAAGGGTGTGGAAGACGTCCAGAACCTCCCAGTACGTAGCTAGTGTTCATTCAGCTCCCCTTTGTTGGGCCCTGCTCTAAGAACATGACAGGCATGGCTCTGTACATTCCTACCAAAATTCCATTTGGGGGCTGAGGTATTGTCTCTGCTTCAGTAATGAGACAATGGGAAGGGCTAAGGAAGATGAGTAGAGCACAGGACCCTGATACTCTCAACTCCTGCGGTTCTGGGTTCTGGGTTCTGGGTTCTGGGTTTGCTTTTGTTTTCTGGCTGTCCTCCTCCTTGTTTTCTGGTTCATGACCCCCTGCTGTCAACAGCATGTTTCCCGCCTGCTTTGGCCTGGCCTCCTCGACAGCCGAGGCCCCTGGCTCTGTCTGCGGCATCTTTGCAGAGCAAGCTCACGGCAGCTGCTCTTGTTTCCGACTTTCCATGGCTCTTATTGTCTATACACATTCAGCCACTTGGTTATATTCTTTCTTCCTTTTTCTCCTTGTTTCTTAGTTGATTACTGTGTGTAAATTTTGCCCCATCATCAAGCTTCAGATCTGTCTGGCCTTTGTGTCTACCCCAGAGCCAGCGTCGCTGTCAACACTCATTCCGGCAACTCGCGCTCTGTTCTAGACTTACCTTTGTGTCTTGATTTTGATCAAGTAGTAAGAAGCTTTTAAGAAATGGGTTGTTTTTACATATTTTATAATGTATAAAATATTTTTTTGATTTTCACAGGGCAAACTCAGAAAATGAATCTTTTCCAGTCGGTGACAAGTGCCTTGGACAACTCATTGGCCAAAGATCCAACTGCAGGTAACCCTTTGTTCCCGACTCGCAGCTGCTGTGTTAATTCCAGGATTGAGGCCTGGCGTGAAGTAGTGATGTGGGGACTCAGTGGTTCATGTTATCCACCTGTAATTATTAAAAGGTCTGATTAAACGATTAAGGCTAAATAATCAAAGTGTGGTATCACACAGTTTTAACCCACTTATTACTGATTAGTTCTCATGCGTCTCTAATATCATTTAGGTCACCTTCTCTCACAGTGTGGGTGGTTCTGATAGATTGACACCTTCGGGGTTAATGCCTACTCTGTGCTACTGTTTCTTTAGCTTCTAGAAAAAACAAAACTCTACTTTGTTCAGCCACCTGTTTATCAAATGAAGATTTGACTTCATTCCTTCCTTTGGGATATGTTGTTGTTCAACTTGTAAGATTTTTTGCAAGTAATTTCAAATATTTATAAATGTATATATAACTTAATCTTTGTCTTATTAAATTATCAATACTAAGACACTTCCACAGTGTATTTTCTAAATGTGATTGGCTTTACTTCAAATGCACTCCTATGTGTGTGGGGAGCCAGAGGTCACCTCCAGCCTCTGTTAGTTCTTGGTGGGCTCGTCAGCTGCATCTGTGAACCACATTGACACCAGGCAGGTGAACTAGAGAAAATCTTACACATTTATTGGTTATAAGTACCTGGGGCTCTTCCCAAGACCATAATGCAAAGAAGTGGCCAAAGCAAGGTGCTTTTATGCATTTTAGACAAAGCATAAATTTAATAAGAAATGACAGGTCAAAGAAAATCTGGCTAAGGGCAATACGTTTT